GTAGGTCCTGGACGTGATGCATTGATCTGAATGATGAAGTAAATAGAGGAGCGAGATATTCGGCGAATGGTAGGTTGGATGGGTCTGCGCGAAGCGTTTCCACTCCGTTTTCGTCGTCGACCTTGGGTGGAATGGGTGAGGAAAGTGAAGGAAGGAGATATAAGCTGATGGTGGCTTTGGTCGCGTCGACTTTGTGTATTACGGCAAGATATGAAGAGATGATCTTCACACGAACCTGGCAAGGGGGGGTCAGTTCAGTAACTCAACAAAATGAGCAACACAATACATACAATCTGACCGTTCGGTGGACCTTTGAGTTGGAAACTGCCAAAACATCCAGTCTTCCAATTCCACACCCAGATCGTATCCACGGTGACACGGAAAACAGTTATGTGATCATGAAATGAACATGCGGATTTTGTGAAATGTTGAGCTGGGTGCTTCCAGGTAGCTGAAGTTCGCAGCTCTGCTAGTGGAGATGGGGTTGTACTAACGGGCGGCATGGACGTCAAATCCATGGTAAGCACACGAGCCGTCGGCCTTCCAAAAGGATGACTAAGGTTCAGTGCCAGGTTAGAGTGAAAAAAAGGGTTCGCCTACTTACTCGTAATGCACCTCGATGTTCACCATGATGTTCAATACAGAACCATCACTCGAGACTTCGGCCTCCATTATCCGCCAATAAACGCCTAACGTTTCCTCTGCACAAAGCCTCCAAGGTACCGAGGCTGCTGATTGTGAATGATCGACGTTGGACACCCCCTGTGCCCTGGAGGTATCTGGTGGCTGGGGTTGCAAATCCCAAATCCGCAAAAGTCCGGTGCTAGACATTGTAAGGAGCCATCTACCACCTCGAACGAGATGGATGCAAGTATAGAGATCATCGGGGAGACAGTATTCTCGCAACGGAACCAACGTCTCTCGAGAAGGGGTTAACGCAGTGTTATTGGATGATGACGACCTGCGCCTGTGATGCGGTCTAGAGGGATCGGAACGAGAACTGAGTTTGTGATGTTCCCTCTCTTTGCCTTTGATAGATGAAGGGTTTGCACCCACACCGCCAGATTGAGCGGTGGCTGCCCGCGCTTGTTTCTTTTGAGCATGTTGTACACGCGTGTGCTGACCTTCCTTGGGAGTATAAATGGAATTGACCAAAGAGAGTTGGAATTTGAGGGGTCGACAAGCTATCAGCTCGAGCTGATGTTCGTCATAGTGCTGATACTGAGCGGGGAATCGTCCAACCGCGTGTTGAGCGGATGCCCGACACACAAAGTAAAACCAGAGGGATCGCTGACGGGTTCGATGGCACAGCCGCTTTGAGACCTATGATAGCAACCGAATTCAATTAATTTTTTACGCTTGATCACCGCTTTTTTTCATTGGGTGGAATGGTGGACATACCCTTCTCAGCGCTAAGATGTCGACGATGGAGAGTCGATGAGCGATTTCGATAAAAAGTTCATCGGGAACAGACTCCAACCCCATCGTCGTAGGGGCGGAGAGGAGGGGAAGGAAGGAACCGAACGAAGATGCCAGGAATTTGACCGGGCAACATTATAATCGCGGAGAAGAACATCATCTAGGAACAAGAGGGGCCACGTGGGATGAATCGGGAATGATGCTCAATTCAGTTTCGGCCCAAAAAAACGGACATTAAGTAACGCCCCGTCGTACATCACACTTTGTCAACGAAAAGCGCAAAAAGTATCATCATCTCTACACTACAACACCCCATAGAATGTCTAAAACTTTACTTGGAAGATATTCGTTTCTGCGGAACACCCACCCTTTTCATGTCACGGGAGTATTGTGGCTTTTCACAATAGGGTGTGTTGCTCAATTTGATGCATGTCTCTTCTTCTGGTGCGCCACTCGGCAACACACGATTAATAAAAACGCACCTTAAATGAACCCAAAGTGCGAGGTCTTGCGACGCTTATCCACTGTCAAAGTCTCTATATCCTTGGTGTGTTTGAGATCTAGGCGGCCTTGCTGCATCAATTTCTGTGGGGTTATCTTGCCACCACTTCTCACTCTGATCGTGCGATCGCAACCGAGCGACCCTGTAGAACAAATCTCATTCTCCGCGTTGCACAAGACGCTCACCCGTGATCAAAGTCTAGAGTTGTGATATAGAAGCATTACCATTGTACAATTGCTTGAGTAATGGTTTCGGAGCCGTTGCTCATGGCGCACGGTTTTACTTCGACAGCT